AATCTCAGGACATTGACTGTTTCTATGGGAACCAGATTTTATAAGGCAGTTGCAATATCAGGATAACAGATCAATTGGCTATTGGCCCTTTTATTCAGATGGCATTAAATATTCTGCCATATTGCACATTGTAGTTTCTACCATTCATAGTAATATGAGTGAACGGTCTTGGTATATATACACACAGACTCTGCAATCACCCCTTGGTCTCATTTGGAACAGTTCTCCCAAAAAGTCTGTCATTCTGAACCCATTTAATATTTTTTTCAGCGAAGAACAACTTAAAGCTGTTGTATGACTTTAAAATTTTATGGTGATTTATATTTTTTTTCCTTTTTCCATGCTTTTCTGGTTAATAAATGAAAAAGAGCATTATATAAAAAAAATATGCATGACAGCAGCCACACCTTTCTAATACAGAGGAAACATTTACGGCAAATGAATTAATCCTTCTCACTTTTTGTCACCAATGAAGTCATGGAATATAATAATATTACATGATCTGAAAAAGGCCTTTTGAGCAGAAGCCTCAAGAGGTTTTTTATTACAGTAATATTCCTCAACGCAACGTGTAATAAAAGCGCCACAGAGGAGTAAAAACTATTATAGTCAGAAAAAAAAAAAAAAAGTTTATGATGGCAGGGGTGCTCTTGCGTCAACCTCTCTGCATGATTAAAAGAATAACCATGATAATCACTCAATTTCACTCCTTCTTTGGATTTTTTTTATGACGTTGTGTTTTTTCTGTGAAGGCCAGGAGACAGACAGAAGGCTGTTGTATGTGTGAGGACAACGGAAATTAGGCTCATCGAGGTTCGTTGGATTTCTAAGTGCAGGAAAATAACTGTGATTACCCATAAACCAACACACTGAGAAGAAGAAAAAAAAAAACAAGAGTCAGACTAAATGCAGGGGAAAGCCGAGTCTGACTCAGCTGGGAGTTTTTTGGGGAGGGTGGTTGTCTTTCTGCTAACATACAAGATTTTCAAAAAGAAACCAAATCCATTAGACGATGCAACTCTCCTCCTCAAGGAAGAAATTGGCAATCAGTACAACCGCCCATTAGATTTATGAAATCTCAAAGGGATTGGAAGAGTCATTCCTTCATCCACCTGTTTCTTCTAAAGAATGGCTGCATTCAAATTGCATACTTCCCTACTATAACGTAGGTGAAAGTAGTATGTGAGAAGAGTAGCACATCCAAATATTCAGTATGCACAGTATCCCATAACACAGTATGCATATCCAAATGACCTGCTACTTCCAGCAAGATTCTGCAGTATGCATCCTTCACCATCTCATGAGGCCACAGGAAAGGCGTTGCACGTGACACAACTGATGCTGGTAGGTCACATGACAATAACAACATGGCCAATGTAGTACATCCAGATTACATTTATATTACACACATTCATACTATGTAGAATCAATTTTTTAATGGTCGCAAATGGTCGTAATTTCTTACTCAAAACAAGTACCTTTACATAGAGTATGTGATTTTGGACACAAACAACGACTGTTTAGACGGGAAGGACATGGGATAGTGAGATTTACAGTGCGGACAAAACGAAGACAGGCAAAATGCCTGCCACGCAAGCAGCTCAATTCATGCCAGATCCCACTTTTCCGGTCCAGTGCAATAGTTAGTTGAATGGATTCAAGTGAAAGTGTTTACAAACCATTTTACTATGTAACCTGACATATTTCTAAGTGAAAATAGATATTCAACAAGAAAAAAAAAAGTTTAGAGCAGGACATAAATTGAATAGAAATCCACTGAGCAGAATAAAAAGACTTTTATGATTACAAAATCACAGCACATTTTACATCAACAACTGTTTTCTTCTTCCTAAGAGCACAATGCCGTTTACATTTTCAGCAGGACTACTGGAAACAACAAGACAGTTCCCCGCAATCACAGAGATGCTTTCCGATTGTTCTTATCATTATATTATAGCTTAGAGATGGAAACATCATTCCAGGAATCTAAACTTAAAGACACTGGAGCAAATGGGGCTTTAAGAATCAGTCCAAAGCGCTGTTGCAATAATGTGATTACTTTCCTGGCCTGAGCCACTGGCCTCTGATGGAAGAACAGCCACCCGTCTGCATGATAAGTCGTCTCCCTCATACTCTGAAGCCTTTAAACCAATTACTTTCCTAATTCAATGCCACAAACCCTACAAAATGGTTTCAAATTATTTTTATGCAACCACTGATGCGCCAACAAACTTGTTGAAATAAGCACTGAGAGAAGCTGTACCACAGTGCTATTGAACATGTGATTCATTTTGCTTACTGTTGCAGTTTCACATCGGTATGATTGCATCAGACACCGAGATTAGACCAGAGTACCATTCGGCCTGTTCTCTTATTTCCTGTTTTCAATGCTGACTGACCTTACAGCAACCCTGCAGAAAGTTTCAGAGGGGAAGTTGTCTTGTAAACAAAAACTTTACAATGCAAAGAAGGAAAACATCTCTTTCATCTGTTAATATGAATTCTTGAGGTGCCTTATAGCTTCCTGAAATGATGCACAGTCATATTGACAATTGTAGTAAAGTGCGTAACATTAAAAATTCTGTTCCAACAGGTCGGTTTTTATATGTATGTATTAGGGATGCTCCGATCGATCGGCTAGAGATCGGTATTGGCCGATAATCATATTTTATGACTCAATCGGTACTCACCAACTTGGCCGATCTCAGGAACCGATCGCAATTTGATGACGTCAACGCGTGACGACGTACATGATGCGTGGGGACATAAATGATTTGGCGCCACAGTCATGTCATCGCCAGTGTGGAAATGCTATGACAATGAAAAATTAGCTGTTTGTCGTGTATGTTTTGCATGATTCATCTACACAGCAGATTCAGTGACGTTAGAGCTGATCTGCGCCTCACTGCACACGTCTGCAGCACGTTACGGCTCCACAGCCACCGGAGCTGATCATGGTCGCTCTAGTCAGTCCCTGTGTTTATCAGCCAGCTGCAGCACGTTTCTGAAGCCCCTCTCCACACTGCTTGGTTAAAAATAGTCTTTTGTGAGTTGTCACAGCGTGGAGGACGGAACAAAAACAGGTTTCCCCAGTAACAGCTCTACACAAAGCAGCGCTGAGCTCACAAACGCTGCTTTATCAGGCATATTAACATGCAAGATGAAATGAAAATGACATCAAAAAGTTTCTAAAGATAGTCTTCCTTCAGAAATACAGTGATATAAAAACACCTGCACCTCGTTTTGATTTTTAAATGTGCAGTACGTGCTCATGTTTATTCAACGAAGCCTTTTGGAAAATCTGTCAGTTTTGATATTGTGGTGAGTGCCACAAATAAATAAATGTATGGGAAACACATCCCACAGCACAACCACCTGAGCCCAACTTCAGTCTACTCATCACCTTAACTTTAACTGCGTTTGTAGCCAGTGCCACAGCCAGACTGATAAACAAACACAGACCGGAATTTAACTTCGGGCCAGGCGCACGCGCCCATTGAAACCGTCTATATAAAGCTTGAAGCATCAGAATCGGCATCGGTATCGGCCGATCACCATGACAAGAAATCGGTACTCAGTATCGGCTGCAGAAATCCTGATCGGAGCATCCCTAGTATGTATATTTATAGTGTATGTATGTATGTATGTGTGTATGAAATTGAATATATATCTACATACATTAAAGAATGATACATTAAAATTACATTTATTGTTTACTGAAAATCATGTCATATTTTGCTATATCAGCCTGCAGTCCTACGTCCCACTAAGGGAAACTGTAGAAATAACCTAGTATGTGAGAGTAAATACACATAACGGAAATGTGAAACTCAGACAAGCTCCAGTGATAATGAATCTACTAGTTTGCAAGGTCCACGGCTCACAGAACAGCAGTAAACTCAACAGAAGGTTTAGATTCGCCTAAATATCCCAAAGCTCATAGGCATCGTTACTTCAATTAGACTGCATAATGCCTGAACTACATCGAGATAAACAAAAAACCTCAATCATTCACAAACACATTTTTGTACATGTTGTAAGCAGAGCACAACACAGCTGTTAAGAGTTTCCATTTGTTGTTAGAGATTCAACGGTCCAGCAAAAATCACATTTTACGGATGCTCTTGTCAAACAGACAGCAGTTTTGGACATGAACCGCAATCACTCTTTGTGGCAGGAACGTTAAACTATTCCTCTCAATGAACGGCACCGAGATAAACATCTTGAATCAAGAACATGTCTAAATCAATGACAATCTCCCACACAATACATACTAAATGCTTAAGTAAGCACTTACATCGGGTTACCACAATTTTCTATCTTTATTGCCAGGTTTCCATGACTTGAGGTAAACCATGACAGTGTTATCTGTCTGCTCTCTCACCACAGCGGAACCCAGTTAACACATGTCTATTTCTGCAGAACATCTACTATATAACCACTCCTTTCCTCTCAGAACAGATTTAAAACAGCCCCCACACTAAAGAGGTAATAATAGGAACAAATCAATTGATTTTACATCACTGTAACATGAAAACAAGACAATTAACAAGCCAGAGAGACAGATAATACCATTTCACCATGTAAACAAAAGGGGGGAAAAAATCAGTTTTACAAGGAATTTTCATCCTGAAAGGGAAAAGCATCTTTCCTGTGAAAGTACATCAAAACATAAAAATAAACAGCAAAATGCACTGCGGAGAGAAAACACACTGCACAGACTTAAAAATACATAAGAAGAAATCTCATCTGTCCTGTAAAATGCATCAGTACAAACAAGGAAAGAAAACGTAGTCATGCCTGTTCCACTTATAAACACCAGAGGTCAGGCAAGCACAACGAATGCAAAGTGGATCCTAGACTATGCAAAACATCAGGCACAAGAAAAGGTAAAAATTAATTTTAAAAAATGAAAATCACAGTGTCACACTTGTGCACTAATTGCATTGCTAAGGTAATGAAGCTTTAAAACTGCAATTGACCAGAAACGGCAAACTCACCAGCATTCACTATGGCATCCACCTCCAGGGTGGTGATGTCACCTTTGTACAGAGACACTTTGTCAGCCAAGTAGAAAGACTTTTGTTCTTCTTCCTCAGTAGCTGTATGGCAAAGATAAAGCAAAGATTAATTTACAGAAAAGCTTTCATTTCAGATAATATTGCATGATGACTCTAGGTATCAGAACAATACAGGTTCATCAAACGTCCTATAATACTCTACTGACCCACATCTGCTCTATAATGATAAACATTGAACTTTTGAAAGATGGAACTGGACTGGATGATATCAAATGAGAAGCAGTAGTGACGCCACACTGTGGCCACTTGTTTAAAAAAAAAAAACATCATCATAAACATGGCCTATTGGACAAACATACTCACACGTCACACTGTGGTGCATTTTGCTGGTGGGAAAAAAAAAACTTCTCTAAACATTTTAAGTAATTACTTTACAAATGTGCTACAGATCTCTGTGCACTAGAACATCTAGGCATAAAAACAGTTTTCCCCCAGGCCATTTCCACCTTAAATAACTGACACACCGATTTACGGACTTGTTATAATTCAGTGCTCTTGTGGCATTAGGCAATATGTAAATACATATTTTTATTCATACAGCTGCCCTCTAAAAACAAAAATGCTGGGTTAAATACTGGGTTCAGCCTGTTGGGTCCTTTTATTGGGTTATCTTTAATATTTTTACCCAGGTGCTGGGTCGTTTTTCTGCACTCTAAAAAAAAATGAGGGATTATTTTTTTTAAACCCAAATGCACGGTTCAGCTTGTTGGGTCATTTTTAATATTTTTTACCCAGGTGCTGGGTAGTTTTTCTGTAATGGGTGATTTTTACTGTCAATATAAAATGAATGCACGAGCAGCACTGAAACATGACTCGACTTCACAGTTACATGTAAGAAAGTTTCCATGCGCTCCACTGACTACAATATGAGCGCTACTGATCTAGTGCACCATTGTTACAGCTGTGGTTACCTATGCTATGGGTTGAAACTTAACGAGGTAAAGCTGTTTTTGATGTAACTTTTCATGTAACTTTTCAAACATGAATAATAAGTCATTTAATGAACTGGAACAGCCTACTGAGAGCAGTTTTCTTCCCACAGACTCCCATTGGCTGCTCCTGTCACGTCCTAAAACCTTTACGTTTCTGAAGATTTTACGACTGTAAAAGACTGACTTGATATACATACACATATATATATGTGTGTGTGTGTGTGTGTGTGTAAAACAGATTTTAGAATGCATTTTCATTATTTAAATGAAAAACCTAACTGACCCAGCACTATGTCAAAAAAACAACCCAGCAAATGGGTTAATGTATAAAATCCAACAAGCTGGGTTAAAATAACATGTGTTCTGTCTATATTTACCCAATGCTGGGTTGCCAAATAACCTAGAAATTGTTGTTTTTAACCCAGCATTTTTCAGAGTGTGTATACTATATACAATACATCATGTACATATCTGTAAATGCAACTGTTAGATATAATCAAAGTTACTTTATTTATTATTATTTTTATTAATTTTTACTTATTTATTAATTTTTTTACTGTTTTTGCATGCATGCATGTGCTGTGTTTGCATTTGCTGTTTGCATGCATGCATGTACCCAGAGTTCCTGGAAATCACAACAAATTCCCTGTGTGTTTGTGCACACTTGGCGAATAAAGCTCCTTCTAAATGCTGTACTTTGAACTTTTTATTAAAGGGGTGGTTTACTGGGTTTTTTCTAGGCTTGATTGTGTTTATGGGGTGCAGTCTAACATGTGTTAATGCTTTGGTTTAAAAAAAAAAAAAAAAACGCATTATTTTTCACATAATTTACCTTTATTCTACACCACTCTGTTCCTTCTCCCATAAACACACTGATCATTTCCTGCTTATGAAGCCCCTCCCTCCCAAATATGTGATGGGTTCAGATTGGTTAGCTGGTCCAGTGTGTTGTGATTGGCTAAACCGCCTCTAGTGCGCGTCTGAACGTCCCGCCCCTTACCTCAACGGCATGTACTCCGGTTGTATTGTAAACAATGGCGTCGTCTATATTGCTTATCAGTTTGAGCCCAATTGAGACGCAGAGGATATTAGTGAAGAGGATCGTGCAGAACCTGTGCAAGCACAGCTTTTAATGGTATGTTTTTTGATTGTTGTTGTCTCATACATTGCTTTTGTTAGCTTTTAATATAAGGTTTTATTTAAAGCTGATTAAAGGTTTAATACAGTACGGCAACCGCAAGCGCATCCATGTATAACGCTTCTCATAGCTAATTTAATAATAATAATTTATGCATTTAGCAGACGCTTTTATCCAAAGCGACTTACAGTGCGCATTCAGGTTATACATTTTTTTACCAGTATGTGTGTTCCCTGGGAACTGAACCCACGACATTTTGTGCTGCTAAAGCAATGCTCTACCACTGAGCCACAGGAACATAGCTATGTGAAAATAAGTGTATAAATGGAACAGTTCAATGTTGGAGCTGAGCTGAATATGAGAGAGAGAGAGAGAGAGAGAGAGAGAGAGAAAAAGAGAGAGAAAGAGAAAGAGGGAGAGAGAGATGCAGAGCGTATGTAGAGCAGGGAAACGCGAGGAACAGTATTGAGAACGCTGCTTTAGAACATTGATTTTGAAACTTGTGAATCCATTAGAATCGTTAGAAGACAGAATCACGATTCATATATGAATAGATTATTACGCAGTCAACCATCCCTTTAATCAAATAATTCTGAACAAAAAGCATCACAGTTTCTAAAATAATATATTAAGCAGCACAACTGTTTTCATCTTTGATCATTTTCTGAAGGATCTTGTGACATTGAAGACTGAAGTAATGGCAGCTGACAATTCAGCTTGACCATATCAGGAATAAATCAAATAAAAGAGAGAGAAAGAGAAAGAGAGAGAGAGAGATGCAGAGCGTATGTAGAGCAGGGAAACGCGAGGAACAGTATTGAGAACGCTGCTTTAGAACATTGATTTTGAAACTTGTGAATCCATTAGAATCGTTAGAAGACAGAATCACGATTCATATATGAATAGATTATTACGCAGTCAACCATCCCTTTAATCAAATAATTCTGAACAAAAAGCATCACAGTTTCTAAAATAATATATTAAGCAGCACAACTGTTTTCATCTTTGATCATTTTCTGAAGGATCTTGTGACATTGAAGACTGAAGTAATGGCAGCTGACAATTCAGCTTGACCATATCAGGAATAAATCAAATAAAAAAATATATAAATTAAAAATATAATCATAAAATATATTGGGGAAAAATGTGTTTCAACTGGTAATAGTATTTATATTTACATATAATATTTACTGTATTTTTGATCATACAAAAGCAGCCTTGGTGAACATAAGAGACTTCAAAAACATTAAAAAAAACAGACGTCAAGCTTCTGAAAGGTAGTGTTCACACACACATATACTACTTAAAACTCTCTCATATACTCACCGAGATAACTTTTTGATCAATCAATATAACCTCCATTCTTCCATTTGTGTCGTTTGGCTTTACTATTATTCTAAAATATTTTTTTTTTTTTTTTTTTTTTAAATTAAGTAATAATATGAGCAAGCGTGTCCAAACCTTTGACTGGGAGCGTATAAAATTAAATGTCAAACATGTAAGCAGATTGCACATTTGAACCATCTTCACTATGGGTTTTCTATAGTGGAACAGGTGTGTGAGTTTATGTAAATCTACAAATACCAGTTACCTTTTCAAATAGCTTTGTACCAGCTCCCAGAATGCTGAGAGAACAAGAACCAATGAAATCAGGCATGTAGCGCTGGCATGTAACACGGTGCATATGGGTTAACAGAATAGATAGTAGGCCAATGAATAGAACGTCCAAACTATCAGGCCTCAAAAACTGCTGGCACTAGCCAGTTGGTCAGCTCTATTTGATGCCATAGGCATGCAACAGAATGATATGCAAAAATCACATGAATATTTGCAAGCTAAAATAAGCAGTGTTCATTATGCACATTTAAATAATTTCCTATAGCACATCCTACAGACTGTCCTCTTAGATTAGTAGAGCCAGAGCAAATATCCGGCTCTAATGTGAACGGACCAGATCAGCTCCTGTCAGTTCATCTCCAGGCCTGCTGGCACAGGACATAGCCATTTGGTGAAGCACGTGCAGGATGTGCGAGGAACAAACCTCATCCAAGGCAACGGAAATGTTCCATTTAGCATTTCCGACATCCTCTCACTATACTACAGATGAAAATGGCCTGAGGATTTTAAGCAAGATGTATTTTAAGGATTTCCTCAAATCATCTTTTAACTAAGATTGTATTTAACGGAAATAGGCCCACACAGAATCTGATGAGTCTTTCACATTTTCCAAGCTTATGTTGGACTAAAAGAATGGATTTAAACATGCTATATGTTCAAGATGAGCTCAGAGTATAACTCTGATCAGCATTTGTAGGTTGATTTGATTTCCATTAGAGGAATGCCACAATGTCAGCGCCGACAGCCTAGTGGGCAAGTGTGCTGACATGTAACTGCATTGTGTTATGGGCATCCCGAGTTCAAATCCTGGCTTGAGGACCTTTCTGTCCCCCTCTCTCTCTTTCTCCCACTTCGCTTCCTGTCTGCTCTCTACTGTCATATCATAAAAAATGTAAATAAAAAAAAGAAGATTGCCACAACACAACAATATTTACCATAAAACATTATTGAGCATCCCAACCAGAATGGCACAAAAGATGGCCTAAAATTGGAATGAAAATACCAGTTTAAACTGACCAACAGCAGACAGGGGAAGTATTTAGGAAGCACATTTTTAAATATTCAAAATTAAGGCAACTCCGTTTTGTGCCACTAGAGTAGAAATTAAATTTTTAAATAATAAGAGAACACTAATAGCATCTCGCCAATGAAAACAAAACCATGAAAGGTTATGAGTTTTTTTTTTTAATGGTTCAGCATTCAATACATGTTAAGTTCTATGCAAAGCATCTCTGGCATGCAGTCTATTACAACAAAATATCCTTGACTCATCCTTCAGCTGAAAAAAAAAAAAAAAAAAATTTTCAGGCGAACCGAAGCAACGCAACGAGGTGAATTCAGTGTCACAAATGAACTGAAATATGCTTGCAGACCACAAGGCGAACAGATAGGGAAAACTTGTACCCTGCAATAATCATTTGCTCAAACTCAATTTTATATGATGCCAAAAAAATCGGCATCATATATCGGCTGCCCCGATTTCTAAATATCGGCATCGACATTGGCCAGTGAAAAACCCATATCGGTCGACCTCTATACTGTACTGCTGGATGATGGATCATAGCAATACAACACTATGCTTACATGCGTTCCTGTCTCACTGAAGCACTTTCTGTGCTAATTCTAGAACATTATGTGAGAAAGCAAGTAACATTTCAAAAATTGGAGTGTATTCAAGTCTTTTATAAACGTGATTTTTATGTTTGCACTTTGTCTGACTTTTTGTATGAAACCTCTGTCCCACTGTGCCTCAGAAAAACAATAATTAAATGTAATTCATGCTTCTCTGGATGTTTTGCATTCAAACAAGCTAGATGAATAACATAAAAAAAGGAAAGGCAAAGGAAATGTTTGCCCAAAAATGAAAATGCTGTCATCACTTACTCATCCTCGTGTCATTTCAAACCTGATCCTAAAAAACAAATTTTTGTTTCACTGAACAATTTGCAGTACAGATGAAATCCATAGTCTCAGATCTGTGCCTTATGCACAGATACACGTGTTCCTGTCTGATTAAATGAGTTAGCAAGCACTTTCTTTGTGAATTCTAGACCTTTATGTGAGAAAACAAATAACTAATCAAGAATTAGAGTGTATTCAAGCCTTTTAAAAATTGTATTTGTTTTAAAAATAATAAAAAGCACTTGTCTGACTTTTAGTATGAAACCTTTCTCTCACTGCTTCAGGGGAAGGGGGGGAAAACTGTAATTCATGCTCTTCTGGATTATTTGCATTCTGACAAACAAGATGAATACCACAGAAAAGAAAATACAGAGAAAAATTCTTAAAGTAAAAAATTTAAACATTGTCTTCATTTACTCACCCTCATGTAATTTCAAACCTGTATGACTGACTGAATTTCTGCAGTAGAGCAATGTTTTACATGACTTTTTACTTCATGTAAACACATAGCATCACAAAGGTGACTATCACTATACATTTCTTCTGAAGTCACTGGTAGCTTTGTGTGTGAATGTAAAAGTGTCAAGTGTGAAAATGTAAATCACTCACTAAAACTTTTGCCATATTTATGAAAGGAGTACAAATGTCTGATTTGTGAACAAATCATTTTTTGAGTCAAATCTTTTCAATTTATCTGTTGATCTACTGGTTCACAAAACTTGTAAGGTTTAGGAGCCTGTTCACACTGATAACTATAAAGATAATGATAAAGATACAGTTCTAAGAATCTCTCAATTTTAAAGAATAGCAGAGTCCACACCACAGCTATAACGATAAAGGCACAGAAAAACAATATAATTGGAATCACTTTCAGAATAATTTTTTCCAGCTGATGAATGATAAAAACATTGACACCCAATCAGAATCGATCCTGCTATCACAGGCTGAAGAATTTAAAGCAGCAGACGCGAATGCACCCAGAATAAACAGACAATATTGTGCACTGGGGTGGACGCTAATATAGTTATCCTTCTTGATGTGAACGGGCCTTAAAGGGTTAGTTCACCTCACCCTCATGTCGTTCCAAACCCATAAGACCTTACCCAACCCGTTCATCTTCAGAACACAAATTAAGATATTTTTCATGAAATCCGAGTGCTCTCTGCCCCTCCATAGACAGCAAGGGTCCTACCACGATCAAGGTACAGAAAGGAGAGTAGTAAGGAGAATACTACGAGAATACTTTTTGTGCACAAAGAAAACAAAAATAAAGACTTTATTCAACGATTTCTTCTCTTCCGGGACAGTCCAACGCCATTATAGACATGCACATTATGTTCCTATGTACATAAACAAAGTGAATCGCATGCGTGTTCTACGTCAGCAGCACCACGCACATGTGTTGATAATGGCAGAGGAGTGTCCCGGAAGAGAAGAAATCGTTGAATAAAGTCATTATTTTTGTTTTCTTTGTGCACAAAAAGTATTATTGTAGTTTCATAAAATTACGGTTGAACCTCTGATGTCACATGGACCATTTTAACGATGTCATTGCTATGTTTCTGTGCCTTGATCATGGTAGGACCCTTACTGTCTATGGAGCAGAGAGCTCTCGGATTTCATCAAAAATATCTTAATTTGTGTTCCAAAGATGAACGAAGGTGTTACATGTTTGGAATGACATGAGGGTGAGTAATTAATGACAGAATTTTCATTTTGGGGTGAACTATCCCTTTAAGAGTAAGTAAATGATGACAGAAGTTTCTTATTTGGTTGAACTATGCCTTTAAAATCATTCCTGATCTTCTGGGGCCAGTTGCATAAATACAGCCATTGTTAAAATGGAGTTTTAAAAACTAGTCTGAACCAGTTAGCTGTTAGCCAAGGGATAATCATTTATACTTTTTTCATTCTGAAATTAGACCAATCTAAGCTTATATGCAACAGTATATGAAACAGGAAACAACAGCTGCCATGCCACAAAACCATTGCCATGTCAAATTGCTACTGTAAACAAAAGCTTGCAATGTGTGCCCGGGGTCTTCCAATTGGTCCACTGTTTTGGAACTGACATTGATGAGTGGTGCTGCTCGTAAAAATGTTTATTATTTTGAGTGTTTACATAGAAAAACAATGGAAAAGTAACCCATTGGAGGCCATTCGCACAGTCCAATGCACCACTTTTCTATTGTTTTTCTATGTAAACACGCACTGGATGGACTGTTACACTTGTGCTCGGGTTTTTGCAGCATCTCACACGAGGGCCATGTAAAGACGCCATGTCAAGTTAAAAGAATTTCAACTTTTACATGCAATGCTGCTCATCAATTTCAGTTTCAAAACAGTGGACCAATGAGAAGACCCGATATGGCAATGATCCAGAACAGATCAATATTCAAGAATAAGGGACAGCTCTGAGATTATGAGTTTCATCTGTACTGCAAATAGTTCAGTGAAAAAAAGACCATGAAAAACACATTTTCTTTTTGTGTTACATGAAAGAATGTCAAGTCATACAGGTTTGAAATGACATGAGGATGAGTAAGTGATGACAGCATTTTCATTTTTTGGTGAACAATTCCATTGCATTTTCTTTTTCATGTTATTCGTCTTGTTTGTTTGAATGCAAATAAAAGACATAGGCCTAAATTACAGTGGACCAATCAGAAGACCCCGGAGACGGGAATAATGTTGCAAGCTTTTGTTTAAGGTAGCAAGTTGGCACGGCAGCCGTTTTATTTGACGGCAACATGGCAGAGGAGGCACTCACAGTGGCTGCGTCTGGATACCCTGATTTATAATTACATTTCTTCAAGCGATTATCATCACAGCCTGTGATAAAAAAGAGCCTTGAGCCCTAAGTAAAAGTCATAGAAATTCCCTTAAATGCTGAAAAAATGCTATGACAAAGATATTGCATTCTTCTTCTGACAGCTGATGGCAAACTGATTTTTTTCATGAATATGACTTGACCTGATGAAGGGGCAGACGCAGGTAATCGCACATGCTTTCTTTCTCTCTCTCTCAGTGCAAATCTACGGACCCTCTGTACAAATGACAGTCTTAAAGATGTTTAAAAAAAAAAAATTTTTTAAACCTTGAACATTGCAGTTGTGGCAGATTGGATAACCCGAGTCAGAACTTAAAAGAATAGTTCACCCAAAAATTAAAAGTCGGTCATCATTTAGCTACTCACCCTCAAGTTGTTTCAAACTCATTTTGCTGAACACAAAAGGTGACATTGAGGAATGTCACCATCTATTTGCTCAACTAAATCTACTAATAAAACTTAGATAGCTGGTCAGAATAGCGCAACTATCTTCATCTATAAATAAGCTATGATATCTGAGCTGTCAGGGTCTCACTGACCCATGTGTCCTCTCCCTTCAAAAGGGCAGCAAGTCACTTGCATGCAGAGTGACTATTGTGTCTTCTGGTAGAGAAGGACATGAAACAACCAGTACCTTCTTCTAGGATGACTATGCAACTTTAATCCAATAGAATACACTCTAAAGCTGTTCACCAAGAAACATAGGCACTACTAAAAGTTATACATGTTATACAAAGCTGAATTTTCAGCATCCATTACTCCAATCTTTCATGTCACATGATTTTAGAAATTCATGAAAATGATTTTTTTTTTAGAATTTCTGAAGGAGTTCAATTTAACTAAATTCCTGAGTTAAAAATAACAGCATTTCCTCGAAATCATTATAAATGTCTTTACCGTCACTTTTAATCAATTTAATGCGGAACAAAATATAAATTTTCCTTCAAAAAATAAAAAATCTTACAGAATGGTAGCATATACAATTCACTATTGTAAAAGCATGTGGGCTACTTAAGAATAACGTGTGTAACTTCTGCACCACAAAACAAACTGCAAACAATTTTCAAACAGCTTTCCCAAGTATGCCTATGGTTGAAAAACAAGTCAGAAAGGCGTCTAGATTTACCTGTATTATTGTCATGATTTGCCCAGGTGGGGATCTTGTCCAATGGCACATAGTTTCCTCGATAATCTTTGTGCCTATCCTCAAGACCAAGACTGAGTAAGCGCTCTGTGCAAAAGAAGAAACCACACCGTCATAGTATACAGACAGACAAGAGCACGTCTTGTGAAGCAAAGCTAATCAGTTTGAATCAGAGGGGTTCATAAAGGAACATCTGCGACTAGCTCTATGCATCGTGCCAGAGTGGTACTCTTTGGTGTGGTAATTGTGGCAGCCATGTAAGTGTGTGTAAGAAAGAAGTGACAAGCTAATGAGGGTACATTGTTCAGCATTCAGCTGCAGGCCTGACATGGAACCAGACTGTGTGTGATCTGTTTTATGTAGTGTACATGGACAACATAATTCACTAATATTTATGTGGCCATAATTTGAGGACTTGCAAGACTGCAATAGACTAAAGTTTATACAGTTGGTTTCTGATTACACTCTATATCCTTCTTTCTCTTTTCATTCTCCATCCACAGGTTCATAACTTTCTTTCTAAGGTTTTAGTTTCACTTTTGTTTCTCCCATTAATGCAACCTTTGTTGACACTAAATGACATACAACTCCTTACAAAAGTTTTATAGGAGGGAGGGTACAAAACCCATAATTCTACACTTAAAATAAAGGACAATAAAAAAATTATAATTATGTTAACAATAGGTTTTAGAATAGAATAGGTTTTAATTTTGTTTCTTATTTTTATCATAACCCAAACCTTTTTTTGAAAACTGTTTAACATTGTATTTTCACTTTAACTACATTTGTGCAGACTAAATAAAACATGAAAATAAAATCAGAAATATACAAAGCAGAGGTACTAACAGAAGTTAATAACTCAAATGCAACATTTGGTATTTCTAGAAATTGGTGCAATAAAGTAAAGCCTAATGGGTCCACATTGCAGTTATTATGCAGTTATTTTGTGGTAAGATAAGAAGTTAAATTAATATTAAATGTAATAATCTCTAAGAAGCTCCCAAACATTTTTTTTTGACTCAAGACAAAATAAAACTTTACCTTGATATTCTTGATACAAACCAGCTCCAAAGTGCCCCTGCCGACACTACTGATTTTTCAAGCTGACTGACCCTACATCTGTCTTTTCAACCATCTTTATTAATTTATTTTTTCCATTTTTATCCTCCTGCACTCCCTATTGCTACACGAATGAAGATGTCTTTCACAAAGGTGGCTTTATGAGTGCAATGTGTACTTGCGATTTTAAAATAGCACAAACGCCAACAAAGCTGATTCATTTAATCAAATCGCCATCTAAAGATATCATAACAGAAGTATTTGATGTTTGTTTACTGCATTGCACTGTATTACACTAGGCGGTAAGTCAATAGCGCTCATCATATACAGTTTATCATATTATTATGAGTCTGATTTATGATAGTGGACCATTAATGCGTATCAAGTAACAATGCTGTCAACCTAATGATTTACAGTCTTGCAACTTCATAAGACATAATTTTGTCACAAATTTTTAACAATCAATAAACAGTGTTGTCATGAACTTCAGGTCACACTGAGTGATGTTTATGTCAAGAACAGGTGGCAGTGCTTGTGCACTTCAAATTATTATAAACAATCTTATTGTAGTGATAAAGTGTCCAGCAAAAATATGATTATATTATCAAACAGGATTGGACAGTGCAGAACATCCAATCATACTATCAAAGTTCCACTATACCATCATGTCCCTAGAAATCTAACTTCCAGGAAAGTTTATCTCCAACTCTGATCAAACGCAACTGAACCAACTCATTTTTGGCTATTATACTTACAATTTCAGACAAAAGCTCTAGAACTAAACTACTTATGAAGGTGGATATCCAGGAGCAGGATTTAGCAAAAGTGCATGCGTGCATAATATTTATCTCATTAAATGTTTAATCAACAGACCTTTTAATTTGTAATTTAGCTGATGCATTTATGCAAACAGACATACAGTGCACCTGTTACAGGTTCAGACTTCATGGAGTTAGTCACACAGGGTTTGTCGTCTTGATCAAGGGTGCAATGGTCATAGCTCATGCAAAGCACCATATTGGGGTTTTTATGTTATCATATGGTTTTTCACTGAATGCACCAATCCAACACATGCATGTTCCAATTCATTTATAAAAGATTAAACACTAATTAATGCATCTGATTTGCATTTAAACAGATTTTAACGCTGGACACATCAGGGCCTTGATCACAGCATCATGTACTGATGCTCCACCTGCATCTGAAGGTGTGCATCTGTCCATGCTGTTGATTCAAGAGGCAAGAGCATTTATAAGAAGACATTTCTCCCGCCACGTGCGTGCTGTGACCCCAGGTTCAACCCGGTGGATGTCAAACCCCAGACTGACACTACCGTAATGAATCCTGTCTTTAAACGGAAGTCCAAAAGACCCTTACCTTTCTCCGCTCTCCACTCCTTTTTCTTTTTGCTCATGGTGCCGTGGTGTGAGGGCTTCTGGTAACTGTTTTTTGAGTTAAGCAACCCCAGGCTCACAGTGAGATGTGCGCTGAAACTCAAGAGAAAGTGAAAAAGCTCCTGTGGCGTGACGCCTCACCTGAGAAACTGTCAAATTGTAGTTGGTGGGGAGACTGTGCAGTGGTGCAACCTACCTTAACGCTAACGGTGGAGGCTGCGTGGAAAATGGAGCGCGGCGATTGGTCGGCTCGAACGCGGAAGAGGTGTTAGGATTGGATGGTTTCATGCGGCAGTCCGGTAAAACGCGCATACGCTTGACGTGGGCTAGGTTGAGCGTCAAAGCGTCGTAGGGTTGGTGGGGTAGCAACCGAGGGGAGTGAGTGAAAAAGCTTCAGAAGACTGCAGCGCCGTGCGTGGTAGTGGAATGCGGGGATGGAGCACCTATTTGATACAGCTGTTTATTGGTTTATTGATGTGCAACTTTACTTATGTGTTTCTTCAACAAAATACGGCGGTTGTGTAATATACTGGGATAGTCAAATCTACAATAAAGTTACAGAAATTCCAGGACTCTCCATCATTTATCGACATACCGTCTGAAAACGATGGCAATGGAAAACGTGCGAGCGGCATTACCTCTTGTGGCAAACGCAACTTCAGTTTTTTAGCGTTTTGGTGAATGCCAAAATACTAACTTGTGATAAAAATGACTGGAACTTTTGAAATCCATACTGACTCCTCATATACTTTGCATGACATCTATAACATTTGTATTATCCAGCGATATTTACTCTGTAATAATGGAAAAGATAGATCTGATGATATTGGTGATTTACTAAATGAACCTTTTTGTATAACAGGTTTGCTGTAAATGCCTGGGGACGTGTTTCAAACCAGATAGATTGCATACGAGTCTTTAAAAAGAGCTCTGTGACTTCAGATATATTGAATATGTTAGTTTAAGGCATTGATTAACTATAATGTGTACATTTGTGTATTTAATTATTTTATAGCTATTAATTACTGCTTAAAATATAAGCTATGGGGATTTGGTTATGTGAGAGAAAATATGGACGTCAATGTTTTTTTTTTGTTTGTTTTTTTTTTCATTCTTAGCATTATCACTCTGTTCCAAAAAGACGTTATTTCATATTATCGGTAAATATTTCATTAAGAAAAAAAGTTTATTTGACGAGACGTGATTTACGCCTGGTCGCTGCAGGCCTCCTGACTAGAGCACAGAATGTACAAAAAGCTCCATTGTTGTGAAATTTCAATAAATTTGGCAAGAACCTAATAGCATTTAGATTAGATACTAGAATGGCCAAAAACCAAAGTCCTGACATGACTGTATGAAAAATTAAACCCGCAGAGGGCGTCAGTCACCGACTTAAATCAGAGAAATAAAACAAAACAAAAAATAATAAAAACAATAGGACAAAACACTGGACAAATTGCCTGGCTATTAACACATAAACACATCTGAAATACCACGCTCAGTTAACCAAAGATTTATTTATAATATGAAAAAGGTTCAATAAAATGCAAGGGAGGGGCTTTTATTGCATTTCTCATGATTTCCGGTTCCCGTGTTTCCCATGATGCCGTGCCCGTTGGGCAAATTCAAACAGTAGAAATGGAAGAGGAATCGAGGAGAGGAGAGTTAGACTGTACAAACATGACTGTCATCACACATAGCAACACCAACGAAACCTCTAACAACAGCTACAACAACACAAATACTCACACCGATCAGTCTACAGCTCAGGAAGAAGAATCAAAGGTTTCCTCTGATGGAGAAAAGGAATGGAACATTTTGTGCCATGTCGATGATCCTGAATCCTCCACTAAATCTAAGGTGGAAAATGTGTGCTTGTTGGACAACAATGGTGAGGTCGAGAGAGACGGGGATCCCCCTTTAAACCCATCAGAAGACAAAGAAAATGAAAATATCCTCACACATGCAAGAACAGAACATAGAGGTGACGGTACGTTGTGGCAAATGGTTAGATTTCCTGTATAAGCTTCTCATTGATAAATAATAATTGATAAACAAGTTGATTACAAATGAGAATAATAAAAAAAAAACTTGACATATATATATATATGACATACAGTCACGAGTGACTAATGGCATTTTAATGGTTTTACTTTATATATATATATATATATATAATTTTAAGCAAAAACCTAGTTTTAATTCACTATGGATGAAAACTTCTGCTAAATGTTTTAGGCTCTTCAAGCCTCTCAATTATAAATTTTAATGAAAATAATGCAATTTAATGCTTTACTTCGGTGTTATAACTTTTGGTCAGGGTTCCTTTCATCTGGTTGAAACTGATGATTGTAGTATGTGTTTTTTTATAGTTTGTATGCCCAAAGCATCAGGCAAAAAAAAATTTTTAATTAATAATGAACACAACTTATCTAAACTCTTTTATAAAACTGTAAATAATTCTTAGATCTGGACAAAAAAAAAAGTGTCACATCATTGACTTTTATCTTTGTCTAATTTAGTCTGTGCCTCAGGAAAATGAAATTTTGATTCCACTTATTTTGTTTTCATACTGTCATGCGAATGTCTCATATAAAGATTGCCAGCAGATTGATCCTTTGGCCAATTCTTCTGGCAGTCAGAGGGATTGTGAATCTAGCGGAGTGTCTGCAAACCATATTGATGATGAGGAAATATTCTGGAGAGCAAGAGAAGAAGGACGAGTGAATGTTGTCTTTCCTGGCCATATCACCCAGGATGGCTGCTGTAGATTTGTTTGTGAGCTTCTGAAGTGTGTCCTTTACCAGCGGCAGCAGATACCTATGACATATGACCAAATGGTGTTCCTCCAGAAACAGCAGCATAATGCCACTCAGGTATTACAGAAGACCTGATGTATAGATATACCTTAATTCATAATTCTAATAAAGTTTGACTGAATTGTGCTTTCTTTCTCACAGACAAAGGACATGGTAAACCAACGGTCTGCAAAGACATCTGAGGGCTTGGACTGGCGTCGATGCCAGCAGACATTGCAGGATCTAGATGAAGTGCTGGCCCACCTTGAGGCATTGTTCTCTCTTAGCCAAGTTCCTTGTGTGCTTTTCATGCTGGGTGGGTCTACCGTCCTTCCTACCGAGCTGTATGAGGTAAACATGGAAGCGGTGGCTGTGGGAGCCGGGGAAAACTGCTTAAGGACTTCAACCTGTCTAAGACAGCTTTTCCGCACATTGTTTGTGGCTGACCTGTTGTCGGATGCCAAGTCTGTGCGGCTTATGACTACCACGGTCATGGCTCTGGGTCACCGGGATTGTGGCGTGACTGGGTTTAAGCCCAAAGTAAAGAAAATGAAAATATCCTCACACATGCAAGAACAGAACATAGAGGTGACGGTACGTTGTGGCAAATGGTTAGATTTCCTGTATAAGCTTCTCATTGATAAATAATAATTGATAAACAAGTTGATTACAAATGAGAATAATAAAAAAAAAACTTGACATATATATATATATGACATACAGTCACGAGTGACTAATGGCATTTTAATGGTTTTACTTTATATATATATATATATATAATTTTAAGCAAAAACCTAGTTTTAATTCACTATGGATGAAAACTTCTGCTAAATGTTTTAGGCTCTTCAAGCCTCTCAATTATACATTTTAATGAAAATAATGCAATTTAATGCTTTACTTCGGTGTTATAACTTTTGGTCAGGGTTCCTTTCATCTGGTTGAAACTGATGATTGTAGTATGTGTTTTTTTATAGTTTGTATGCCCAAAGCATCAGGCAAAAAAACAATTTTAATTAATAATGAACACAACTTATCTAAACTCTTTTATAAAACTGTAAATAATTCTTAGATCTGGACAAAAAAAAAAAGTGTCACATCATTGACTTTTATCTTTGTCTAATTTAGTCTGTGCCTCAGGAAAATGAAATTTTGATTCCACTTATTTTGTTTTCATACTGTCATGCGAATGTCTCATATAAAGATTGCCAGCAGATTGATCCTTTGGCCAATTCTTCTGGCAGTCAGAGGGATTGTGAATCTAGCGGAGTGTCTGCAAACCATATTGATGATGAGGAAATATTCTGGAGAGCAAGAGAAGAAGGACGAGTGAATGTTGTCTTTCCTGGCCATATCACCCAGGATGGCTGCTGTAGATTTGTTTGTGAGCTTCTGAAGTGTGTCCTTTACCAGCGGCAGCAGATACCTATGACATATGACCAAATGGTGTTCCTCCAGAAACAGCAGCATAATGCCACTCAGGTATTACAGAATACCTGATGTATAGATATACCTTAATTCATAATTCTAATAAAGTTTGACTGAATTGTGCTTTCTTTCTCACAGACAAAGGACATGGTAAACCAACGGTCTGCAAAGACATCTGAGGGCTTGGACTGGCGTCGATGCCAGCGGACATTGCAGGATCTAGATGAAGTGCTGGCCCACCTTGAGGCATTGTTCTCTCTTAGCCAAGTTCCTTGTGTGCTTTTCATGCTGGGTGGGTCTACCGTCCTTCCTACCGAGCTGTATGAGGTAAACATGGAAGCGGTGGCTGTGGGAGCCGGGGAAAACTGCTTAAGGACTTCAACCTGTCTAAGACAGCTTTTCCGCACATTGTTTGTGGCTGACCTGTTGTCGGATGCCAAGTCTGTGCGGCTTATGACTACCACGGTCATGGCTCTGGGTCACCGGGATTGTGGCGTGACTGGGTTTAAGCCCAAAGTGGATTTTAAAGTCCCCACAAAAGTGAAAAGGCAAGTCATCTCTATAGCCAGTGATTTGTCACTCACCAGGGAGTTACAAAAAAGTAAAACCGATCTAGAGTACTATATATGGTTTCAAGCCCCTGTCACTGTGAAAGGTTTCTGTAAATGATAAGGGAATAAAGAGTAACAGATTTCAGGGAATGTTGAAATACAATTCACTCCATTCTCAGGGATCACAGCTGTATGACTGGCCAAAAAGTACATGGGCTATTGTTTTTTTTATTATTATTCAGGAATTCTGTGTGAATTTACATTTTTTTTTAAACCTCAGATTATTTATGCCATGTTTACATTGTCATCTGCTAATCCATATATTTTATATTATTAACTTTTACAGTATACAGTGGTGGTTTTCTAATGTTTAATAATCTTAGCTGCTACTCCAAGACCATTTGTAATTCCTATTAATTAAAACCAATTGCTATATGGTAGCTTCTGGAAACTGATGCATGTACATGATTTTAATTTACTTAAAATGTGTTTTAGGCTCTTTATGTCTTTCAGTATATATTTTCATGAAAATAATGCATTTTAACACTTCCATTTGGTGCTATATATTTGTACTCTTTGTTTTTATTTGCAATTCCATTCACTTACAAAAGAACATTCAATCTTGAGGTCAGAGATCATTAAATCTGGTTGAAACGATGCAAACTGACGATTGTAGCATGTATATTATGATGTACAATGAAACTAAATTTCTTTTTTAGCAAGCAGAAGTTAGTGTTTCATTTTTTTTTTTTAAATGTTTACTGATTTTAACAGTACACAGTAAAAAGTATATCTTGAGTTCTTATGTTGAAATCATGCAAAAAAAACAGTATAATACAAAATTATATTGTACAGAACTTTTTCATATAACTTTGGTTCATTGAAAAACCACAACATTCCTTAATGTTGAACCTTGCATTCCCAACTGAATTAACTTTAGATTGTTAAATGCACTAATGACACTAAACAGAAATTATAAGAGCAGTGCATTATTTTCTTAATATACTGCTGTTATTTGTGGTCTTTGCTCTCCACTTTCTCCACAAACTGAAAGATGTCTCGAGCCATCAGCTGAGGTTCTTCATAGGCAGCAAAGTGTCCCCCTCGGGGCATGTAGGTGAAAGAACGCACATCTGTAAACCGTGAGCCAGCCCAGGCCCTAGGGCAGTGGAGCAGCTCATCAGGAAAGGCAGCCAGGCCAGTGGGCACATACACACTCGTCCTTTAAGGGAAATAAGAAAAAGCTTTTTTTAGCCATACAAATCAAATCTTTTTTGAAAAGGCTGCAAAGAATTCAATGTGTATGAGGTATAAGTATTTACATTGGGTCACCACAAAGACTTTTTGAACTTACACACTGTCCACCCTTGTCTTGAAATCTTTCTTCGGGTTCTCTTTGTAGAAGCGCATTGAGGGAATGATGGAACATGCGGTCCAGTAGATCATGACATTTGTAAGGAGGTTGTCTAGACTGAACTTTCTGTGATATAATAAGTGACAAAGCTACTTAATTAAAATCGAACTAACCCTTTATATTTTTTGATTTTGCTAGTTTCAATATTGATAATAAAATAAAATTCAAAATATTTAAATGATCCTAGAGCACCAAATCAGACTATTAGAATTATTTCTGAAGGATAATGTGACACTGAAGACTGGAGTAATGGTTGCTGAAAATCCAGCTTGGCCATCAAAGGGATAAATTATATTTTTAAATAAATTCAAACAGCAAACTTATTTTAAAATTTATTTCACAATATTACTGATTTTACTGTATTTTTGATCAAGTAAATGCAGCTTTGCTGAGTATAAGAGACTTCGCAAAGATGAAAAAATTGTACTGACCTCAAACTTTGGAACAGTACTGTATATATATATATATATATGTACATTTGTGCAAAATGTCTGCAACTGTATGAGATTAACCTTTCTTCACCTCTCTAAACCTCCATCCTCCAAGTCTCTTGTTTCCTAATCCTAAATCTGTCCAAGAGGAGAATTTCTCCCAGATATAGGCAGCCAATCCGACTGGTGAGTCATTCAGTCCACAACCTGCAACATATTTTTAAGTTAGGCTTTCAATTAAGTGTTAATCTGACATTACCCAAAAGCATAACATGATATGTGCCAAGTATTACCTGCTCTGTCTGGTTTAGTGGCTTGAATGTGTAAATAGCCAGTTTCTCTCAGTATATCAAATATATTCTTCTCCATGTAAGGATAGAGTCGTCTGACATCTTCCTTTGTGAAGCCCACCAGGAACGGCAGGTAGCGACCAATGATTAAGGAGAGGAGCTGTCCAAGGCTGTCTGTCCTGGCAATGACCATGTTCAAGTGCAGACCACGAATGCACCTTATTTTAAAGAGGGCAAAAGTTAGCTTTTTAATTGACAATTAATAAAAGGCACTCTATATTACAAAAACATATTACAGAAAAAGAGACAAATAATCTAGTGACAGAGACTCATGTCATTAAAAGGACAGTTATAGGATAGTAAGGGGTGTAAAACTCTTACTCTGGCTTCATCTGGGCCATGTTGTTTGTAATGAAGGCTCCCCAGTCTTCTCCTTGCACGTAAAAAGTCTTTCCATCAGCTTATGGAAGATGCGAGCAGCCTCCAAAGTGTTGAATCCTTCATGTGAAATAATGGAAAGAACAGCACGTCTGTTCTCCATTTCCCATCTATCATATGTTTAGATTGTATATTATCCATATGCCATCTTGCTTTTTGTGTGTCTGTGAAAAGTTATCAACGTCTTTGTCTAGCAGAATTAGCCATAAGTTCCATAAATGTTGAAAGACTTATCCTTTTTATGTGGGGCTTCTGAGTAGCCATAGCCTGGAATGGAGGGGCAGATGACCTCAAAGACCACATCTGAATCGGTCTTAGTGAGCAAAGGTATGATCCTGTAAAACTCATAGAAGGAACCAGGCCAGCCATGAACCATCATGAGAGGGAGAACTGTCTGTCCAGCCTTCTGGACAGGCCTCACGTGGACGAAATGCACATCTATTCCTGAGAAGCAGTACAGGCTTTCACTAAAATGAACAGTGTGTAATATACCTAATCACATTTTGTGAATGCAAGATGTGGGACTTGAAATTGCATGCTTTGTTACTACATGTTTTATCTAGTGAGGTAAATGATCACCTTTGAAAGTGTTAGGTGCTTACCCTCGATTTTGGTTTTGAAGTGAGGATACTGGTTAATCACCTTCACCTGCTTTTCCCAGTCAAACTGGTGCCTCCAATAAGAGACCACCCGTCTAAGATAGTTAGAGTTGAATCCATAATTAAAGTGGCTATCCTCCAGTGGAATCGTGAAGCGTGTTTGATCAATGCGTCTTTGTAGATCCTAAAGAAAATAGTGGGGTTAATGATGACATTTAAATATATAGTGGTTGAGTGAGTGTATATTTAACACACATGAAAGTGGAAGAGAGAGTGTTCATGTGGGGATTTATGTGAAAACCTATTATTTTGTTCTAAAATTGCTGATTGCCACACCATTCTTCACACAAAAGATTGCATTACACACTGGAATAAAACATTATTGCTGTTTAGGTTGTACACCCACCTCTATCTCTTCCACCGAGGTCGTCACTACAAATCTGTGAATGGTATCGTCCTCAGTTAAAGGCTTCTCTCCAGCTCCCCACCAGCCATCCACCACTGGTAATGTTTTGGGGCTTTGCCTCCACGCCAAGTAGCACAAAACAGCTCCAACCCCAGCAGAAGAGAGTGCTAGGAGCTGTAGTTTAGACCGATCGAGGTTACCAAGGGTCTATCTAAAAGTTAGTTGACAACAAACGACAAACAAACTTATGGATCAGAACAGATTTTAAAAACTGGTCATCGTACAGTAAATGATTGAGAATCTCACACTACCAGACTTTCAAGTTGTTCGAACACAACAAACTCATGCAGACGTATGTGCCTAGTTTCTAGGAGACACATGACAAATGAAAACACTATGTAATAAATTGGCTAAAATGTATGCCTGTGCCCATCATACTCTGAACGTTTTGTTTGAAATCAGTCAACCCCAACTGCCCAAAATCTTAAGAATGGCTTTAATACTATATTTTTTTTTTACTTAGTAAGCAAATAAACATGTTTTTGCTGGTTTTTTTAGTTTAGTTTAAAAAAGGGGTTTTAATTGGGTTTTTTTTTATTCAGCCTCATCCACCCTCTTCCCACCATTCACTGTCGAAATAATACTTAATATTGTTGCATTGTTTGACCATTTGTCAGGTTTCTTGACATTGCTGCTGTTGATTTTATCATCACATTACATAAGGTGTTGTCTTGTGATGCCAGGATGAGATTATTTCTCAAATAAAATTATATTTTAAAGTATTTCATGACTGTTGAGTCTTAATTCTACATGTCGTTTAAAGGGGTAATATGATGTTGCTAAAAATAACATTATTTGGTGTAATGCAATGTGTTTATGCGGTTTAAGGTTAAAAAAACACATTATTTTCCACATACTGTACATTATTGTTTCTCCTCTATGCCCCGCCTTTCTGAAACTCGTCAATATTTACAAAGCTCATCGGTCTGAAAAGCGAGGTGTGCTCTGATTGGCCAGCTATCCAGTGCGTTGTGATTGGCCGAATACCTCAAGCACGTGACGGAAATGGTACGCCCCTCACCATATTGTGATGCCTTGTCCCGGCCGGAGCAATGAGACCAAAACATTAAAACCCATTATAAATTAGGCATTTGTTGCATCCAGTAATTACGGATTATAATGACTTATACTGTCTGTTTACACATTGCATTACATCGCGCCACGTAAACATAAAACCATGTCTGCATTTGTGATCAGAGAAATGACAAACTACAAATGCTACCTTACACTCAAAACTCGCGTTTGAATCGTCAGTGGCAAATTCTTTAAATATAAAAAACGTACTTACAGTCTGTGAGTCAGAACAGCCGGCATTGTAGTCTACTCTTCCAGGATCAGGAAACAGTCCTCCATAAAATGCGCTGCACACATCTGAATATTTGGGTTGAACTGTTCTGGAACAGTGTTGTAAATACAACTTAACCACTGATTTCTAGTCGTGTCCTCTTTTGGAAGGCCACACAAAGTAGTTTCGCTTTCA